CGCTCTTTCTCCTGTCTGCAGTGTGGGGGGGGGGGGGGTGCAGCTAAAGCCGCTGAAAGAAAGGGAGTCCTTCCCTTCAAGTCCTGTGGAAGATAGCAAAGCGGTGAGATGGTTGTGGTGGCCGTAAGGCGGCAACGAAAAAAGCAGTCAAGCAGAACGTTGGCTGTTCGTTGGACATGAGTTGCTTGCTGGCTATCACTGTCGCGTAGCGGGGAGCATGACCTCTTGGCAAGCAGAAAATGTGAGAGAGCCTCACTTCCTGAAGGCAATGGCCTCGTGGGGCGCATAGTCATGGAGGCGGCTGCCAAGCATTTGTGTCCGGTCACGCCACTTGACTCGAAGAGGCACAGCTGCCTAGCTACACTTTGCTCTGGCAGCCGAAGTGTGCGGTGGAAGGCTGCATCATACGAGAGGATACCGAGTGAAACAGCCATGTCGCCCTGGGTTTTGCCGCTGAAGGTTAGAGCTGGGCGGCAAATCGCCCGTCGTCTTTGATCGGGGATTCTCAGCAAGCCAGCTGAAACTAGCTGCGAAACGGTGCCCTGGCTGGCTTAAGCGGCTTCAGGTGTCGGGCTTACAAAGTCCAGGGTGGAACGGAGCTGTTGGTTCGACATTACTTCCGAGAGTAGCCGGAGCGTTGGTGACCCCAAGATGGCTTGACCAAGTCCTCAAGACGGTCGGCCCCCGCCCAGAGCAAATGTTCTTGACCCCGCAGCGCCACCGAGGATCGCCAACATAGGTCTCTTTGTCAATGCCGGTGCGCGGGCATTCAACATGGTGATTTGTGCTGTGCTAGGGCTAAAGCCTCGCGCCACTGCATTGAGGCAATTTTCACAGCTGCAAAGGTTTGCGTTCAGGTAGGTCTGCATTGCAAGCAAGCTGTACATCCTCAATGGGTCCGGCTTGGAACTTCAGAAAGAGCTGCTACAATCTGGCATTTCTTGTTCTGACACATGGTAGCAATACAATAGTAAAGGCGATTACAGTAGTAAGCTATGAGTGTGTATGAGCACTATTATTGACATGGCAGTTAGAGTTAGACTTATGGACACACGCACATGCATGCATACGTTCGTGCATATACACAAGCACTGCACATACACATGGACGTATAGTCACTTACCCATGTTCATATACATGCGTATACATTGTATGATGTTCTGGGCCAGTTGTTGATTTTGAGAACGGGGTAGCTGTCCGGATGTCCATCAGTATGAGTCCCCAGTTTGTACACCGACTTTGCAAGCATTGTCTCGTGTCGGGTGCAGCTGCAATTAAGGTCAGCTTTGCATCAGTCCTGACTACATCTTGGTCCACAAGGACTTGCTGGCGTCAGTCACTCTACCCAACGAGGGACAATGCCAAGCAAAAGCACTCTATTCACAGCGTAGATGTGGAAATAAATGGACGAGCCGATAAATTACATAGTCCACTCACGCCCCATGTCTCCTCCACCGGAAATGACCTTGCCGACTGCAGTCGTCATTGCTAGCTGTTCCTCCGACAACCAGCTTCGGTCTTGAACGCAATGGCTTGTATTCTTCCGTCTTCAAGGTGTGACTTTATTCGCAGCCTTCCAGGCCAAGAGCAGCATCCATGCCGGCCCATGCAATAACGTTCATTGCACGCGAGTGCAGTAGAATCCGTGCCGGCCTCTCCCAAAATCCCAGAGCGAGGCCTCTCCTGACTCAATGCGGGAGGTTCCTCGTGTCACAGCCCACATCAAGTCCGCAACTACGCCATCACGGATCTTTCTTTTCTTGACTTGAAGCCGCATATGGGAACAAACGCACCCTGCAGGAAGTGGCGAAGGATCTCATTGATGCCCTGAAGGAGAGATGCTGCTAGATGCCGGCGTTGTATCAGAACTTCGGGCTCAGTTCTTGAGCGGTTCATACTGGTCGAGTTGCATATCATTATCGCAGCTTCACGAGCAGGCGGCCGGTCGTGGGTTCATCACACTGTAACCCCATCGCTGGACCCACGAATTTGAAGATGGACGAATGGGCTTCAAGCAGGGTCACACACACGTGCACATCGGCAACCAAACGCTTTGCTGCAGAGGAGGCTGTCGGCATTTTGAATCCCACACGCGACTCCACCGAACATCTTGGCAGACTTGTGAACCAGAGGCCGCCTGTCTGCACTTCTCCAGGCTTGTCAGTGTCAAAGGTGCGGGAGAGCCACTGTATCGCACTCCATGTTGTTTTCTGTTTTCTTTTTGATTTTGATTTCTTGTGAAACAGGATCCAAAGAGCCCTCAACGGATTCGCCAGCACAGGCACTACGACCGCATCAAGAATATGATCGATACCTCTGGGGGGCAAGTTATCTGCGGAGGATCTACTGCGACTTGGCCTTGGGCCGGGCCATCACTTTGAGCCGCTTCAGGGAGCTACGATCCCCCTCCTCTCCCAAACCTCTGAGCAGTTGAAGCCGAAGATGCAACTCATGCAACTGAGTGGCTGCGCCCGGTTTCTCGAACATCAGACACCATCCAGATCACTTCAGAACCCCTCGATAGGCCCATTTACATACTCGTTGAAGAAAGCCGAGGCAGAAGCGGGGGCGGATGCGGCGAAGTGTTTCGTGCAGCATGGCATGCAACCAAGATGCTTCTGCTCTTGGTCTGGGTCCTGTTTTGTCATATGCCACCGGAGCCTTGACTATCCCCCAACGTTGCATCCATCTTGTGTGCCAGATGATGCGTACACTCAGGGCACAAGCTGCGGAGTTGGGTGGCAAGTTGTTCCGAGGGTTCTCGAGGAGCCGGAGAGTCTCTGATCGTTCCCTGCTCTGTGCACCAAGGCCGCCGACCATCATCGCGAGCCCGGACTTATCGTCACCTGCAATGGCCGAGGCATCGCGCGTCTGCACTGGATCATGGCAAAAGACGGCTCCAGAGTGATACGATACGTGCAGTCGACAGGCATGTGCATCTTCCATCTTTCAAAATTGTGCGGAATGATCTCTGCGCGCGGACCAGGAGGCTTTTGGACCCATGATGTCCGTGATGCCTGTGGATGATCTCGATTCGGCCATTGCGTCCTGTGCTTCATTCATAGTGAGAGTGGATTGGAGCGTTTCCAGTTTGTCCCGTCTTGGCACCGTGCGAGAGCAAACGTCAGACAAGTTTTCCATGCCATCATTGCTTGCAGCATCTTTCTGGCAAGCAGTCTCTGGTTCTTCCTGCGGAATTTTGATGGAGCGGGGTTTGCTGCCTTTTCCGGTTCAGTTCAGGCCAGTAGTTTAGGCATTTCGGCTGTCGTATGCCTGGAAGCTGGAATCATGTGTATCCCAGGAGTTCATCAACGACCGCGAGACACCACTGGCTCTGTACGTGTTCTCGCCGAGCAGCTGCCCTTCTGAATATGGCGAATCCGGCAAGGCTGTAGGAGTCAACGCTTTAGCGTGCGGCGTGCGGATTAACCATTTTCCAGCCATGCCTGCTCTGTGGCCTGTAGCCGTTTCCCTGGACCCAAGACCCCAAAGCTCGAGTGGCCGCACGACCCCAGGTTCACGGGCAAAGTATGTCATGGACAGGACCAACAGTGGAGGTGTGTGCATTAACGACGCTTGGACTCGTGAGCTGGGACTTGGACTTGAGGATTACAGCGTAGGCCCGCGCTTCGCGGGAGCTTGAAAAACTTCTGATAGACTTGCTCTCCTGGCATGTGGTGCTAGTCTCGGATCTAGCCAGTGACAAGACGGCTTTCGCCTCGTCTTGAATCTGCATCCGATTGTGACCTTGCTATCTGTGCTACCAGGATATTTCAGGCATGTTGACCCCCTTGATGAAGGGAAGTGCTTCATCAAAGTTGCCCAGTCTAGGCTTTCGTGCGCTCGGAAAGGGGGCTGGACTTCCGGGCAAAGTGGAGCACATTTGCTAGGTCAGGGCAACAGAATCGAGGCAGGCTGTACGAATGAAACGTGGAACAAGTGGGCAGGAACTGCACATTGCCAGATCGCACAGCACGAAGCGCAAGGCCAGCACTATCGTTGATATACTTCGTTATGGACTCCTTCGCCAATACCCTGCCAGGACGTGCCAGGTAGGGAGCCCGATGCTGATCCCGAACAATGTTTGTCTTGAGACTCGTAGTAATTACATCGTGAATATTGACTGAGGCTACATGAGGCTACGTAGGCTCCTGAAGTCAACATATCCCAGGACACGGCCATGCACCTTGCGAATCCCGCCCTTCCCTTCGGGGGCTCCGGGCCGAGTGGTTTTGGAGCGCACCTGGGCCGGGAGATCGTTAGAAATTCAGGGTTCGAGGGTTTGAGATGCAGTCCTTCGATGCGCCATCTATGTTTTGGGAGCTTTTTGCATCTCGGTTGGCTGGTTGAATCTTGGTCGACACATCGCCAAATGCTCAAAACGTGTTGTGGACTGTGGATTAGCCCGACGTACCAGGGCGCCAGGCGCTGAGCAGGAGCAGCATCCCTAATTTTGGAAGTGCACACGCCTCCCCCAATCCGCGATGCCCAGTGGTATACCGATTCCTGCTATGTTTCGGGTGAATCTGGATGCTGCGACGATCACAATCAAGCCCACAAAGACATCTCATCACAGCCACAGGATAGTGAGAAGTTTGCATGTTGTTGCGTGCGTAGCGAGAGCCTCGAGGATGGCACGGCAGAGAGACAGCGAGAGAACAGCTCATCGGCGGGTTTTGTCGACAGTGTCGAATTGAGATACATCGAGCTGAAGTCAGGTTATACGGTCGTAGACACTGGTACGCCTGTGAAACGGCATGGGTTCGGTCGAAAGTCCGAAGAGTCACCAAGCCCGTTACGAGCGTTAGCGCATGACCCGACATGCAATGGACTATTCAGACTATTCGATGCCTCGAGGTACCACGGGAAGCATGGATTCGACGAGCTCTCCCACAAGCGCGCCGCAACTCGCCGATATTCGCACCATCTAAGTCAGTTGTGCGTCAGGAGTCTCGGTGCACAGTCACAAGACACAGCGTCAACCCAAAGCAGTGCCGAGCATCCAAGACGCAAGCGCGACAGGTACTTCCAGAGTTGCGAAAGAGCTTTTGAGTCAGTTGTCCACAGCCTGGAAGTCGATGCCATGAGCACAGCTGCCTCGAAGCTGACGGACGACAGGTCAAGGTCAGGATATCGACAGGCTATGGATCACCGGCCACAGGATCTGAACAGACATGGCACCCGGCCCAGCAGTGGCATTACGGAAAACACTGTTTGTCGAGATTCCAGAAACTGTCTCAATGCGTATCCCCAGTCTTTCCGGCCCATCCGGCCCTTCAACACTCAGGGTCAAGTCCCTGTATCCTGAACAGCGAACGGCGAGCACAGGCCCTACAAGCCTGCCTAGACATTGCAAGCTTTTGTGATGTAAATAATCAGCATCGCAAAAAGCACCCGCAGCCGCCACCGAAGTTGCAGAGCCCCGGTAGAGCAGGCGTGCAGGTCTCTTGCAGTGTCGAGTGCCAACTACAGGCTGACGCATGCGCAGGGCTGGCAGTATTTGGCAATAGTACAAGTGCATGAACGCTGCGTTTTCGCATCTGCTGGGCCTTCCGCAAAACAAGGTGATGTCAAGGTCTCTTCGCCTAGATGTCGAGCGCTTCCCCCCGTACAAAGACTTCTGGATCAAGGTGCAGTGCATGCTGCGCTGAGAGTTGCAAACCCGATCGCGGAACAGGATCCCCGGTTCTCATCCTTGCAAGGGGTTGTGTGGTTTAATGTGGTGTAGGACCAAGACTTTACGTGGTCTCGACTCTTCAAGTTGAAGAGGTAACGTCTGAGGTCGACACGTTTCACGCTGCAGGAAAGATGGAGTGGTAATTACAGTCTCAGAAAAGATATCCAGACAAGTTGCTAGCAGATGTTCTTAGATCGTATCATCTTGAAGACTGAAGACCACAAAGTCGACACAGCTCAGCAAGAAAAGCCTGAAGACTGGAGGTGGTGAAGTTCGCTTGGGTGGGGCCTTGGTGCCCCTCTTGCGTGACGGCCGCTGCCTGGGTTCTTCTTTGTCGGTCATTTCTTGAGCTATGGTTCAAAAAGACGTGAAAGCATGCTGCAGTGTTATTCCGACAAACGCGCTGCACAGCGGCTGAAATTCTCGGCAGTGTCTGCTTGCGCTGCGACTGAACTATGAAGCTCCCCGTTCGAGATCTTTACTTTCGCCTCCATACCCCGAACTCAGGGGCAGGGTGAACATGCCAAAGAAGCACAACAGATAGATCCAGCTGTCCCACATGCTGTTTCCGAGGCTGCTGTCTCCCAACTGAGGCGCATTTGCCGATTGTAAGGTGCTGCGCACATGTCCGTGGCAAACAAGGGTTTGCCATTGCAAAGTTCTCAAAAGTTTTGAATTTCATGGAATCTTTACAATCTTTTGCTGTGGTGACCTTGGGCCGGAGCCAACGGCGTATCCACAAGGCCACAAGGTTTCCAGGCATCAGATCCTCGCCTGTCAGGGTCTGCATTTTGCGTAATATTCTTTCCCCAGATGTTCCAAGTCTGTCTGTGCCTCCTGTTCATAGCAGGGCCACGACGGTCAGGCCAGACGCCTAGTCCTTCCGATTCTGAACTCTGCATGGGCCAAAATCTTTTGAAAGGCATGTTTGAAGAGGCGGCGGTGCTGCAACCCTCATGGCTTGCTCAGAATCGGTGGGCCCGCTGAAGTCAGCGCTTTCTCGTGGTCTTCTGCTGTAGCAGAGAGCTCCACTGAGCAAAACCGGTGCACACGTGGAGACGTAGATTCTGTGTGACTGCTGGCTAATGGCACTACAAGTGCACGCACACTCACACTTGCCTGCATCCAAGGACACTGCATCGGCTGCAATCGACGGCTGCCCATGCTGCAAGGCAAGTTCCTGGTTCTTTTCCCAAATGTGTTTGCCACGCGGTCACTGAGCCAGAACTTGACCGACACTGAGGCCACCGGGCCTCCACGCATGTTGCAAAGGATTCTTTCATCACTGTTGGTCTTGCCTACCTCTACTTCTCCATGCAAAGTTCCCGGCAGGGTCGCAGGACCCCTGCTGGTTGTGCATGGCAATTGAAGCCTCTGGGGCCGTGCAGAGGCAGCTCGAGGCTTCGATGCGGCGGTTGTTGGCAAAGCTGCCCCAGGCTCGAACCAATCAGAGCGTCTTTTTGGCTTCAGGCGGAGCTAAGAGTTTCTAAAGGGAGTCACCGTCTGGGCTTGGTCACTTTGAGCAGGCCCAAATGTACCGCAGGAACTTGGGAAATCTTTGCAGAAAGCTGTTTCCAGTACACTCTACCGGTCGGATCTGCTGGGCATCAGCAACACGTACAAGAGCTGCGTAGCAAGAATAGGCCGGGTTGAATTTGCAAGGTCACCCGATCGCCACAACGCACAGGTAGTAGAGGCAAGAAATTCAGAACGCAAGTATGGATGCCTCAAGTTCCCATCATTCTACGTTTTAGGCTTGGGGGGGAGTTTTCGGTTTGGGGGGAGTTCTGTCTTTCTGATTCTGGCTTCTACCGCACGCTTGGTTACTGCTTATTACAGCATACTGTTCCAAGTGCATGTGCGGAGAAGGGAAGCATCCACGGAAACATGGGTCGGACGTGTTGAGAAGGGCGAAGCAGATGCCAGCTTATTCCCGCGACTTTCGAAGAGGCTTCCTCGCCGGAGCAGGCGGCTTCGAGGGAGGGCTGGTGATTCAGGTTTTCGTGTGCAGAGTCGCGGTCGCTGCTATCTCTTGCTGCGCCCATGAAACCTTAACTTCAAAGCCTCTTTGAGCTGCAGCTAAAGCACCAAGTGATGAGTCAGAGTCTGCGCGGTCCCGACGCAGTACCCTCAGCCCGCAAAGCTTCTCAGGGACTCAGGGCGACCCCCGGCAGGTCACCCTGCATATGGCCAAGTTGGATACCCGTCTCGGGCTGATTGCAGAGGCACCGGCCATGCTGTTCCTGGTCTGCCAAGACCCCTACAAACCTTTGGGTCTCTGGTGCCGCGGAGGAACAGATAGTCGAACTCGCTCAAGCCATGCTCCACAGTAATGGTCAGCTCGTGGAAGCAACGGTTGAATTTGCACCTGTGGCATCTGGAATGTGCGCAGTGTGTTATCGTGTAGCATCTGGTTCAAAAGCACCCCGGACATTCTGCTGAAAAGAGTTGTCGGATAGAAGCCAGGCCGCCAGGAAGGCTTCCCATCCTGTGTTGTGAAATCATGTTTCATGAAGGACCCAACGGTTGAAGCGCACTAGCGAAACTTGACAATTCGGAACTGGCTTAATGACAGTCTCTGTGAAGCAGCTCAGCAAGAGTTGGAAGTTTTGAAGTGTCGACGAAGCAAAAGAATCCGGAGACTGGTTTCTGGCATTGATCGGTGAGGTTGCGATGAAGAGTGCAACACGCGGAGTTTTGCTATCGCCTGTTTGTCTCGTATTTGCTTTGTGTGGAGCTCTCGTTTCATAGCTGCCCCAGCAATGCCGACCCCAGTCGCACCACAACGACGAAGAATCACGTTCGTCAACACCAGCGTAGTTTGCCCCCTGAAGCGGTTTTGGCCGCAAAGCAGCTAAATCTCCAGCCTTGCCCATCCCATAGTTCGCTCTACAAAGCGACTGCGACAGGAGCTGTCAGAGCTGCGTCGCTCAGAGCGGGATGTGAAGTCGATGAATTCCAGGGTGCAAGATCTGCAGAAGCTCCTCTACCTGCTCCAGGCCCCCACCCCTTCAGGGAGAGAGTGGTCTTCCGGTGTGGCTTGGGGCTGCAGCCTTAATCGAAAAACATGCGTCATCTGATCAACAAGAACAAACAACTTTCATCTGGGGGAGGGTGTTGATATCGGCCCGACACTTTTGAGTTTTCCCCCCATGGAATTACCAGTGAGAGCTCGTCAGCCTTCCCTCGAGGCTGAGGTCATCCATGTGGAGCAGATGGCAGCGAGCTGGGAGACGGTGCCTTGGGACCTTGGGCATTCCTCGTTCTCTCAATCGACAGGACATGCTGAAGATTTTAATGGTGCCAGGTGCTGAAGGCCGGCGAGCGCTCTAAGCTGCTTGGTTCGCCTTGGTCAGGTCTGGGTCGCGGCTTTGGCTTTTATCTTTGGATTTCGAATTGGACTTAAGAGTGGATGGAAGCCGCGGCCTTTGGGCTTGCTGCAGTGCTCAACTTGGTGAAGTTTCACGGAGCGTTTACGGACTGCTGACTGGACGAGACATTCCTGATTATCGTGAAAGCGTGCTGAGCACGCGCATGTTCTGCACACGCCGGCACTCTCACCCTGCCTCCTGCTCCTGCAGCACCAGTAAGTCGAAAGCACAAAAGACTCAGCAGACGCAACCATGAGGATGCATTGTGGCGTGTCGCGGCTCCAGAGTTCTGTCCAAACTATCCACAGGCAGCTGGATGAGCTTCTCGGTCTTTCAGTGAGGGAGCCAGTTAGGGAGCTCCGGCAGCTAGACTAACTGAGGCTTCAAAGATTGTGTAAAGGGAGTTTGCAGCTGAACAGTTTTGCTCGGTGTTCCGTTCAACACGTGCTCTTGTTATTCTGCAGACTGATTCAGTGATTCCCCTAGCTTATTTACAAGGCTTTGGATCGACAACCTTGCTGCAGTTGTGCCGCCCACGCCATGCCTCGAGTAGCGTGCATCACGCGATTGCGGTCGCAAAGGCTAACTCAGCAGGCAGTGGAGGGCGAGATGGGCGACCCGCGGTCAAATCCAGATTATGCACCCGCACACCTGGAGGCCTCGAGGGCTAAGGGGGTTACTAGGGATATTCTAACAGATAACGCATGTCGGGTGTTTGGGGCAGTGTTGGGTTTCCTTTGTGTGGTTCAGGTAATTGCCATTTTTACCTTCAACCTTCTATGCCTGTGCACTTCATCCGATACACGCGGACGTTAACGCTGACTTTGGCTTTGGAGGGTTTGCTTTGATTGTATGCTCGATCACTCATGTTAGTCATTGAGAGGTTCAGCTATTGCAGTGTCGCGCCACGCTGTACGTGGGGTAAATCTGAAACTTGATGTGCACTGCGTTGCACTGTAGTATCGAGGCATTTCTCATTCTCTTCAGTTCCGCCTGTATGAAGGGCTTCAGCCCCAGAGGCCAGGAACTTAGTGCTGTTGGCCGGTTTGGGTTTGTAAGGGGGCGCAATACCTATGCAGCAGCGATGCGGTTCTGAGTTTGGTGCACGTGCAACTCGCTGACGCATGGATTCGATGCGGGGTGTTGCCGGTTGCTTAATGAATTCGACCCTGTTAGGCGACGTTGGAGGCCATCAAGGAAGAGGGCACTGCCTCGGACCGGAGTCAGCAAACTTTGATAGCGCAGGGTGCTGCCCCGAAGCTTGGCGTCTTCTCAAGACAAGTTTCGGCTGCTCGGGGGGAACGTGGGTTGTTTGGCAAGAAGCAAACTGCAGTGACTGAGTTGTCTTCAATGGTTTCAACATTGCCTCAACCCAGGAACATTGAAGTGATGAGCGTTCTTCAAGGCCGTCTCCATTTCTTCCAGGTGCCAGGGGTGTTTTCATGGCATAGCAGCCGAGGCAGTGACAGAATAAGGAATGTCACAGAACATCTATGTAGCTGCTCGTGATCATGACTTTTCCCTGAAAAATTCCAATTTGTAAGCATTGGAACAGGGAATTCAGAAAACCGTGGCCATCGCACAAAACAGGTAGTCACGACTGAGCAGGATGTACTTACAGTTTCAGGAGAAAGGTATGCATAAGTCAACGGAATGGATTGCTACACGACTTGAGATTCGAGGGGTACTGATCCGACGGGCTCATGCAATCCGGGAACAGTATCTCAGCACCCGAGACGCAATCTGACGAAACAGCCAAGATGCTTTTGGAACCATGGGCTTCAGGGTTGCCACATGCTATCGTTCCCATCAATTTGTAGCTCATTCGCTTTGCTGAGTTAGCTCGCACAGCGCTTGCCGCATGCAGCTGTGTACTCTCTTGCACTCAATGCCGAGACGATTCACAACATCAGGAACTCTTGCGCTGCGTCACGGAGGCCGTGGCCAAGCACTTTGGATTCCGATACATGCGGGGAGCAGCTTCAGTTCAAGCTACAGCTACCGATGACAGCACAGTCAAATCACAATGTATTTTTTTCAGTTCTCCCTAGAGGCTGTCATCTAGCAGATTCTTGCATGTCCATAGTCTTGTAATCAGTGTTGTGCTGCCTCACGTAGTAACACCGGACTCACTCGAGCTCAAAACAGCTCCACGTTCTGCTAAGGAGCGACGATGCCTCCACTCTGCAAAGCATCGTGCGCCATCGGCCCCAGAATCTCGGATGCTTTGCCTTGCCCGTGCACGCTGGCCCTTGCACAACTGGCGGGTCAGGGTGGGAAGTTTCGGGGCTCCGGCTCCAGGGCGCAGGCGGAAGCTGTTGGGCCCAGTTCTTACTGGATTTTTTCTTTGTTTCGCTCGGAGTTTCGCTCGGACGGACTTGCGCTTGCGCCCGCACTTTTGCATGATGTCGCTTTCACCGAGCTCACCTGGGTGGCTAGGGCCCAAGAGCTCCAAATTCTGTTAGTCTCAGGAATGCCAAGCGTGCTGGTCTGCCTGCACTTTCCGCACGCCAGTCCCCAGAGCTGGTAGAGGCCTGAGCATGGTGGGGGGTGACGTTGTGGGCATGCATAGGATCTAGCTACAAAGACATGCCTGGACGTTGGCAATACGAATTGTATTGTAGGTGATTGCAGTGAGATCTGGGGACCCAAGAATCCCCAGCAAGACTTCGGCCACGAATTCCGACTTTCTTCGACTTTCGACTAGCAGGAGCCGCCACAGATGCCGCCGCCAGTGGAGCAGGACGTTCGGCTGCTGTTGGGGAAGTGTAGGTTGCACCAGGTTGCAAAAGGTGGATGGGTGAGAGGAGCTACCCGGAAGCACCTGCACTCACAAAGAATCGTCCCGCATAGAGGTTCGAGCAGACCTCTGCGAGTCCTCGCCGTTGCCGCCTGACCGGGGGCCGGCAGCAATGGGGCGCCGGGAGGTGCGGCTTTGAGAGGGTTCGGATTGGCTGCTTTTGGGCTGAAGACTTGAGCGGTCGGGCTGCAGGGAAAGGTGTTGGCATCCAGAGATCGGTTTGGTGTGTGAACAGGTGGTGAGATGTTGCAGCCCTCGGCTCGCATGTTCTCCATGCGTTTAGATTTTTTAGTCGGGGCCTTTTCGGGTTCGTCTCTGGTGGAACGCTTCTCGCAATAGACTCAGGCATCTGTCCTGCATGCCGTTGCCAAAGAAAGAACCAACCACAGCGGTTCCAAAAAGCTTACGCATCCGAAGCCCAAGCGTCTTGCTTCTGCTTCTGCCAGATGTCCTTGGCACAGATGCGGGAGGAAGTCGACGAGGAGAGGAAGCCAGGGGCTCAGCAACGGATACAACCTAGCGATGCTGGGAGCGGATGGTTAAAGAGATGGTCTGTGTTGATGATTCTCGAACTCCACGTAATCGCGCCAGCGCTACACAGCCAGGCGCTACATTGCATACCATCTTGTGCGGGATGAACACCGTGGTCCTGCTTCCTTGTCGACAACCCAAGCTTCCTTCTTCTGATTGCCAGGCAGCGGGAACCCCATACACGCCCTCGAAACTACCCACAGCCTTAGCCCTGCAGGCACCGGCACCAGCTTCAGATGAGCCCAGTGACGCTTCCGGGTAGACATATATACCACTTGCACGGTGCGGTGTTGCTGTGGTTAAGTTGCCGGGCCTCGCTACTATGGCAAGGCAAGAGAAGCGACACGACATGAAGGATGTAAGTCATAAGCCGTCCCTCAAAAACGTTGTAAGTGCTGCCCACTCGGGATGTCAAACCAGCGCGGACTGCACGCGACTCTCAGCGCACGTGCACGCAGCCACACATCCAGATACGAAGCTGGTAGCGATTCAGCAGCTGAGCCTGCACTTACTCACGTCGGAAGCGATGTAGATTATGGACAGAGACCGCTTGTCTCACTGCTCCAATGCGAAACCCGTCTCCGAGAGACTTTTCGCAGCAGCCATAGACAGAGGGGAAGCTCTCTTCTGCATGTGCATTCTGTGCATTGAATCGCTTCAAGAGATTTCAGTTTGAGGGCTTCCTTGGGTATCGGAGCACTGCCTCGCCTCGGTCAGCCGTTGCACAAAGGGAGATTCCAACCTCTGCAGTCACAGATCGCTGCAGAAACCGTGCGGCACATCGCAAGCATGAGTCATGTGAAAAAGACCATGGATATCGGCCGAGACCTGATTCCAAGCGCACGGCCCTAGATCCCATGGAAGGTGGACGATGGAAGTGATGACCCGCCTACGGCTCAACAATTCCCTGGAAGGCAGGGGTGCAGCCTTGAGTCCCAGACCCTCGTTGCAGAGCCAGTGTCAAAGAGGGTGCATTCACTTGCATCGACTCATTCTGCGGGATCCGGGGGATGCGATTCGTGACTCTTGGACTGAGTCCGAGCTGTTTCAGTCCTGAGGTGTCCTCGCAGAACACGCTGGCCTGGACCAGAGCCCCCAAGCATTCAAGCATCATGCCCATCAGACCTTTTGGCAAAATGTGGATGCACAAACACGCTCTCGTGCTGGGCTTCGAGCCCGAATCAGCCCGAACACCCGCGCAGCCAGGCTGAGTGCTTTCGTTCAATCACGTCTCTCCGTGGAGGAGTTCCCCATCCTGCGCGAGGCCTATACAGCGCTTGAACCGTACATCCTCCGAGAACTGGGAACTCGTTTTACACCTTCACAAGGCCGCAATACGCGGGTGGTCCATCGACACGAGAGAGAGAGAGAGAGAGAGGTGGGTTTCATGCCGACTCGCGCTGGACGACGGACGTAGCGAGCCCCGGCGCGGGGGGGGTGCGTGCACCCCTGCTCGTCAGCAAACAAGCAAGCAAGCAAGAGAGAGGTGGAGGCAGGTTTCAAGGTGTCAACACGGGCATAGTCCTCACTAGTTTCACGCCGACGTGCGCTGGACGCAAGACGTTGGAAGCCCATGTGGGGGGAGGCACTACGGTGCCTTTGATTTTCAGCAAGCAAGAGAGCGGTGGAGGGAGAGTAGCCGACTCGGGCGGGCCGAGTGCCTGCGGGTTGTACAATACGCGACCCCTACGCCCGGCAGAAAGAAAGAGTTGCCATTTCGGCTCAAGTGTTGCACCTTTGCTTCGGGGCCCGTGCCGCCACCTTGCATCTGGGGGGAGACACGGGGTTAACTTGAAGTAGGGCTTTTCAGGGGAGCTTGCGTGATTTCGCCAGCGGTTTCGTTTCAAGTGCCCCCAAGGGTTTAGCACGTCCTGCGGCCCTCGTCAGAGGTGGTCCGCTAGCAGGGGAAGAGGCATGCTGCCTCCTTCGGAACTCATGGTGGGGTTGGCGGAGATTCTGCCTTGATCTATGGCGAGCTCTTCAAATGAGTCGGGGTTCAAATGAGGCAAAGGCAGCCTCTTGCCGACCCTTCCCGCCGCTTCAGATGATATAAGGAGCTCAAAAGCTGCACTCTCCAAAGAGGGGACTCTTGGTTTACAGGTGAAGCGAAGAAAACACGAAACCCGCTGGGCGGTGTCACTCACGGACAAGGTGCAAAGGATCGGGAAGGAGAACAAAAAGTGCCAATGCACCTGCATGTTTCTGCGGCTTTGCCCAGGCCGGAGCAGTGGGTTTTTGGGCATGTTTGTTTTCTCCGATTGCTTATTTGCTGCAAAACCCTAGCCGGAGAGCTGGGGCCACACGTTTTAGCTCTCTTGCCAGGGCGTGGACGCATCAACCACACAGAATTTAGGTGCTGGACCGGTGCTATTCCGGTCCACAAATTGTGGTGACCCTGCTCAAACGGAGTCGTGACGTTCGTAGTGGGTGTGCCGAAAGGGAAAAAGCGAAGGAGAGAATCAAAGAACATATAGCGTGCATATAGTAACATAGAGAGAAAGGCACTCAGAGCCCTGGAGGCAGCTTACCAGCGTGGCTTCCTTCACCGCCTGGACGGGTGTGGGCTTGCATATGCTTCTATTATCAGCCATGCAGCATTGGGCATGGATTCTATGGGCGACGAAACTGATATGTGAGGTAGTAAACACCTGCAAATGTGCGTGTGTGTGTTTTTGTGCATGTTGCTGTGTAGATGTATGTCCTCGTACTCATGTATTGCTGCACATATGCACAAACATGCATGGAACATGTCTATCTGCCTTACCTTACCTTACCTTACCTTACCTTACCTTACCTTACCTTTACCTTTACCTTTACCTTTACCTTTACCTTTACCTTTACCTTTACCTTAACCCTTACCTTAACCCTTACCTTAACCCTTACCTTAACCCTTACCTTAACCCTTACCTCAACCTTTACCTTAACCTTTACCTTAACCTTTACCTTAACCTTTACCTTAACCTTTACCTTAACCTTTACCTTAACCTTTACCTTAACCTTTACCTTAGCCTTTACCTTAGCCTTTACCTTAGCCTTTACCTTAGCCTTGACCTTAACCTTTACCTTAACCTTTACCTTAACCTTTACCTTAACCTTTATAACCTTTACCTTAACCTTTACCTTAACCTTTACCTTAACCTTTGCCTTAACCTTT